AAAAAAAAAAAGCGAAAAGTCAAGACTAAATGTATATGACACGAAAAACAACCTAATTGCTAATTAGGTTGGATAATGGTTAGTTACGTACGTCATTGGTGTCTTGCTTTTTCTACCAATTCAATAAAGGTGTCAAATAGCCCGACTAGGCTTGGTTTCATTTAAAAATAATAATGACATTCTAGGTATTCTTCTAGAAAAAAACTAGCATAATTAGATAATAAAAAAAATTATTTTTTCAAAAACTTGATCCAAGATCTCTACTAAATCATTGATTCACGTTATAACAAAATTAATCGCACAAATGATTGCTGAATTACCCCCTTAAGTTTTATAAAATTTGAATCTCGAATCCTAGTCAGCACAACAATCACTCCAAATATGTTAACGAATCTAGAATATTGATCTTCAATGTTCAAGCTTCCAACCCTTAGATCTTCTTTCATATTCTTCAAAAGTCTAAAGTGCAGTTGAAGAGTAGATACCTCAAGAACTCCAAAATTATGGAGCACATCAAGAAAACTAGACCGATTGGCTCTCTTTCTATATGGGCTGCCACAACAAATGTTGTAATCATCCATTGGCCGTCCCTAGCCCTTTATTTACCTATCGAAGAAGATGACGAATTACGAACTCAGGTGTGTGCTCACTACATTGATCCATATGAGTTCTCAACATAACGATATGATGAACGTGACAGAATGATCTCATTCTTTGATATATCAAAAAACATCAAGTTCATGAATAACAACAATTATCCCATAATGGATTAGGCATCCATAAGATAATTATGTGTGATTAATTTCTTTAACATGATTAACTATAAAATTAATCAACAATTTATTTAGTCGAGTCCAATATAGTTCCAAGTATATTAATGTTATTACTCTCCAACACACAATCGTCACGGTCAAGACGAATCGCATACTCCAATTGGTAGAGTAACTGACCCTTCGATGCAGATAGAATGTCACCTCTATAAGTTGGTCCAGGACAAATTTTTCTCAATCTAAATAAAATTTATATCCTGTGTGCTTTTCTAAGCAAGTACATAACACATATTACAAAAAACAATATACGACCTTAATCGCTTACTCAAATGTCCAATGAATAATTAAAAAAATAAATAATTATTTATTAATAAAAAAATGAGAATGTCATAAATTACAATTACATCCTAACACTATTGATCACCAATCCGAACACCAGTAACATGTATTAGCTCATGTTCGCTTCAGTTAAAAATAAGATTTTTAGTTGATTTTGACAAAAGCTGATAAAATACGTGGTTGAAAAATTGATAAAAAATTTAATTCATGAAATGTATGATTAAAAATAATTTTTTTTAAAAAAGGATTTCAAACAAAAGCTTAAATTTACTCGAGTATCTAATCTCCATTCAAATTAGCTTTTGCTAATGTAAAAGTTTAACCAATTATTGACGACGTTCCCACGCATCTCCTCGACCCCTTTTTCCTATTATCCACAGTATCTAAAAGAATAAATAGATTCTTAAAGTATTGTCAAAAGTATGTAGGGTAGAGTTTTTAGACTCTTTAAATTTTATTTATTTTTCTTGAAACTTGAAATCATTTTTTCGGATCGACCTAAAACTGAGGACCCCATTCTGATATAGATTGATCCTAGAAGGGTGTTTGGTGGGGATTAAAATTAGATTTTTAGTAGATTTTGATAGAAGATTTTAAAATGTATTGTTGAAAAATTGTGAGACCCATGAAAGATGCGATTAATATTGATTGTTTGACTTTGACTTGAATTAAAATCAGATTTTAATCCGTTTCAAACGGAGGCTAGATGTACATGGACTTTCTACAGGTTGAGATGCTTGATCCTATTTATAGTTCATTCTAATCTGCTTTGCAATATCATTTACCAATGCAAAAATTAAGCAACTAAGCCATAAATAGAGGATCATATTAAAAAAAAAATCAGGTAAATATTTCAAAAAGAATAAAGCTATATGTATAAATTCGAGATGATCCTCATATGAGGTGATATTAAATGATAAAACTAATAAAATGGATATAATATCCACATATTTTATTGAACTTTTCATTTCACCCCCGATCAAATAAGAATGCTCATCAATTTGTAGATATATCGCTGTTCTTTCAAAAATCAGATGTATCTTAAAATATGTTATTTTTGGCAATGTTACAATGTATATAATTTTTCTTTAATATCTAATGTCAATGTTATATTTCATTCTTTTGTATCTTGCAATTATTATTATTATTATTATTATTATTATTATTATTATTATTTTTGATGTGTATGTAATTACAGTGACATTTAGAATACTCCATATTTAGGGCCTGTTTGGTACAGATTTTCATTTTTTACAGTAAATCAATTCTCATTTTCAACCACACATTCTTCAATAAAATAATATTTTCCATCACATCAATACTTTTTTCTTCTTTTTCAACCACACATTTCACATCATATCACTATTCAAAAATCAATT